GAACCATCCAGATGATTGTGACGCCATCTGCCAATCTCTTGTCGCACGGCTACTGTGTGTAGGATATGTATGCGTTTCTGCACGTTGTAATCTGAAACGAGAGAAATGAGACCATGTAGACGTTGTTCGTTTAAAGTTTAAAGAATGAATTGTTTAGCAGTCGAATGGCACGAAGGTCGCTACTACCGTACTCAACGCTTCACGGTCACCACTCGAGGCGCATAACTACTTTAACCTTAAAACAAAAACAGTCCAATAGTATTTTTTAACCTTGTCGAAATATCCCAGCCAACTTATTTTTCTCTTACAGGGTTTACTTATTACGCCGCGAATGTCTGTAATTGCATCTTCGTCATGGTAAAGGTCGATGGACTTATCAATGACGTAATTTAGGTTATACGTATTATCGCATTATAGAATTATGACTTTATCGTATCTACATGTAAGTCATTCTCGACCGATAAATCGAGAATTCGTGGCATTTACACATTCGATTGATCGCACTTCTTTCAGAAAAGCTTTACTAAGCAACTTGTGCAATTCCACTGCAGTGACCCATCGTATCCAAGAATTGATTATCGTCTGTCACCAGCAGGAGTTTATAGTAATCGAATATACCCAACGATAAAGTTAGTTCGATGAATCTCGATCGAAGCTATAGGTCTTTTCGATTAAAAACTTCTGAATGAGCCAAGAAAAATATTGCTCAATTTTATAATAAGATAAGTAAAAACTTCTGAATGAGCCAAGAAAAATATTGCTCAATTTTATAATAAGATAAGTAAATATATGACATCACAGTACACGAATAAGACTTACGATAATTGAGCTCGATTTACTAAAATAAAACGAGTCGTAGGTCATGATGGTCAATAAAATGTAGTATGTTTTTAATTAAACCGTTATCAGTGTTGCAGTTTAGGTCATCGTTGGTACAGTTTAAATTCAATGATCTACGAAATAAATCACATCTTGTTTACCATGAGGACAGATGAACTTATTGCATATTTTTAGATTAAGATATTTACATGCAATATTTACAAAGTGTTGACAATATGAGATAAACGCAATAAAATTAAAGAGGTTAAAATAATTCGATGTAGTAGGGAGGATACGCGTTTAACAGGTGCGTCTAACAAGTTAAATTAGAACGAAAAAAATATGAACGAATTCAAATCTCGCGGGAAAGTGATTTTCCTCGGGCGAGTATCGATAGATTTGAAAGTACGGACGCAGTAAGGGACACATGCTCGGTTGAAGTGTTGGGTGACGAGATTACCCGGTCGGCCCACACGTCTAGACGTTTTAAAGTTTTTACAATGCTCGCGAGGCGTGGTATGGCATGACTGCAACGCGACACGATGGGATATTATACGATCCTGTGCCACCGCCGCTTTTTACAACCACACCTCAACCGGTATATGTACGAATATATACAAGTGCTCCTATGCACATTGTATGGAAGACATAACCTCAACGAAGAATGTTACTCCAATTGTACTATTAGCATTTTTCATTTGAACGAAAATAGAACTAAAGAGTAATCAAAATAAAAATTGATCACGATAAATTATGGATTTTATCTCTCAGGGGGCGAATTTTAAATGGATCTTTGTAATGTATATGTAGCTTATAGGTCTGTCACCTGTTGTACTTTTCAAATGAAAAGCTGCTTTTCGCCCGCGTCAGAAGTGACGCTGTAAAATAAGCCGATTTATAACGAATAACGCGATGTAGGTTAATGCTTGTGGACGGGGTTCGGGATTTCGCAAGCTTTTTTCTAGGTCGCTAGCTAAACGAAATCGGGAGACGTTTGTTTAGATAAAACTGACGTTACGGGGGTTCCAGGGATGGCTTCCACTCGCGTATGCGCATTGTGTTCAGCGACAGTGATGTATCTAATACGTTCATAAAACTGGTGCCGTTAGTCGCCCCTAAGAATGATAAAAGTATACAAGAATTTGAACAGATAAACGGTATTAAAATTACGGGGCAACGAGTGTTATAAGAATGTTAAGATCCAATATAAGACCGATGTATGGTTAGTGTATACATTGTACTAATACTATAACGAACCTTAAATAGAGCAAAGCAAAGCAAAGCAAGAAATCACGTATTGTTTCCTATATAGCTACGGTACTGCGTACTCGGCTTTTTCCGACGCGCATGAGCAAGTGGTAGCCATCCCTGGCATCACTGGAGGGTTTGTGTGAGTCAAGGAAGTATTTTCACCGGTCGAGACCACTTTAAGCTAATAAGTGCGCACAATGTATTTCGCACATGTCAGACTGGTGGCAGTAGGCCAAGGATCATTCTTTCGACCATGAAATCGTTCGTGATCTATAAAATGTTCAAGGCATGTTGAAATTATCGTCACAGTTAAAATATTTAGAAGGCCCATGCTAATCGTCGAATTCGAATCATATCCAATCGAGGACAGAACACGGGGCCTCTATTAATATGTGTACTTATATGCATGTACGTGCTTTGCGTAGCAAAAAAAAAAAAAAAAGAATTAAAAAAAAAAAACACGAATTTTTAACGATGCACTATCAACTCACAACGAACCACGTCAGGAAAAATTATACATAAGTGGTTGTAAACGTCGTGTGTTATTCTCCGAAGTAATCTCAAACAAAATTGTTAAGACGAGTTCAGTGACGATAATTTTCTTAACAGTAATTTTTGTAATCGAAAACACGTCGAGTGTAGTCTTAAGTCTAAAGATATACAAAGTCAAAAATCATCGGACAGTTATCTGCGTAGTCTTAAATATGTCGATTCGAGTATTTGTTGCGATAAGAATTAAAATCGTCTCGGTAGTTTATGAATAAAAACTTTCTGAAGATAAATATACACGATATATTCGATAAATAGTTTCACGTCATTTTTAAATCTATAGCTAAACATCCCTGACGTAATTTTACGTCATTCTATATTCACGAAGAGGCAGATGACTTTACCGACTCGTACTTATGATTACAGCGACAACAAATTAATTTTTCCGGTTCATTGAAAATAGTACCGAAAATTTTGTTAAATTTATGGATCGAGGATAGCCTTAATTTGTGTCTTCATTTTTAATTTCAATGTTTGAAAAGCAGAATTGTTTATACGTGTCGGTATCTTATTTGTTTCTTAATGTTTACATTAGGAGAAGATGTTTGTGTCCCCCCTTATCTGTTTTTAATGCTCATCAGATGAGATTACGATTGTTTCTCGTTACGTCCTAGCGATATCGACAAAGTTAAGTATTGAATAATAATGTTCGATTATTTAAATCGCTCTACGTGTTTTTATTGCGCCTGATCGGACAAGGACGAAACCGTCTTCGAAAAGAAACGAAGAAGAAACGAAGACGAAGAAATTGAATGTATCTCGTCACGCGCGGTAACAGCCTTTAGTTTAAGGCGATTAGAGTCAGGCGACACATCGGTCGCGGCTGTTATCGTCGTGCCATGGCAGATTGTTATTTATAGAGAGAAAGTACACAGCGCATGCAGCCTCGCACTTAAAGACGCCGACGTGCCAGATCCTCTCAAGTTTTTCATCCAATTTCGGCTCGAAAAATCCGCAACCCACGAAAATCAAAGCTACAAACGATCCAAGTTAAATAACTGTGCTTACTCGGATTCCTAGCGACTTGGGTCCAAATTTACAAATGTTATTTTTTGTTATTCGTGTTTCCCTTTCTGATGCGTAGGATATATAATTAATAAAAAATCTTTGACATATAGTATCCCACATTATAACACCGATACATGTTTTTAGCTATACGGTGTTTTCTAGGAAACCACGGCTCTAGAAAGTAGTAAACGTATGAATTGCGTTCACGAAATCGTTTCAGCCTCCGCACTAGCGATCCTGCAATTTAGCAACTTGTATTCTACACGAGACCTTCGTGCCCTCTCTGTCGCTTTTCTCTTTCGCATTGCGTGCAAGGACAGGTCCATAAACAGACGTTATCTTACGATCACGAGCTATGAGCACACGCCGTGCGTTGGTAGTCGGTGAACGATGCAAAACCACCGATGAATTTTTTAGCGACTGTCGTTTCGCAAGAGTAGACGAATCCCTGGCTCGTATGACGGATTTTAAAAACCACGAAAATTCAACGTAATCGTTTTGCTAATTCCCAACGGATAAGGTGAAATATTTGTTATATAAGTAATCTGAATTATCTGGATGGGCTGGATGTAACTGGATCCAACCGAATACGTGATTATGGGGATGGGACTGATAATATTCGGTATTGATGACAATCGGCCAATTCGACGCTCAAGTGCCCACGTTACCAAGTTGATCCTATCATCTCATTCTGAACACTTTACCGACCAGTTGGATATGTAATTAAGTCTAATATTTTTTATTTTCATATCGTTAGTACTATACAATATTTATTCTATCTATTATAACGATGAAAGTTATACAACGCTATCTCAGTAATAGATAGTAGTGGTCGGTAAAGCGTTACTTAAAGACACAACATCTCAAATAGAATCTTTAAGATTCGAAAAATAGATATTCGTAGAGATTTTGCGATTGTTCTCGCATATCTCTTTGGATGCGCTTGTACTACGCACAAGTGAGCAGTAGGCATTCTTGGGTGAATTCAGGATCATTATCTTCGCGGTATCGAAACACGATCAACTTACCATAAAAGTAACGCGACCGGTGCCTTCTCTCCCGCTGCACCGTGCTGTTCGACCTCCGATCGCGTGTCTCTCTTCCGCGTGAGAGTGTCCTTCCGATTTGAACTGGATCGTCGTTGCCCATCAGCTTCCCTCTCTTCGCCGCTCCTCTGTTCCTGGCGCCGTTCATGACACACGCTTCATACGACCGTGTCTCCATCGTGTGTCGTGCGGTGTGACGCCTCGTCCCGCGTGATCTACGCCTCGACAATGAACCAAGTAAACTGAAAGAATTCGTACGACTTCGTACATCGTTTGACGAGGACTCCCGGAGATTCACCAATACGGGGCGTCGTTCGTCAGGTGTTGCCAAGAAGCAAACTCGCTCCACGTGTGTATGTTTGTTCTCGTTGCGTCCGTTATCCTTGGGATACCGTCTCGTATACCGTTGCTCGAGAATCCGTCGCACGAGGTTGTGAGGATGTCGTACCGTTTAGCCGGTGCCCGAGGCTATAACACAGAAATCACCATTATGAGATCAATTGCAAAGCGATCGCGACAGGATGAGCTAGGCACGAAGAATGGTTTCGTTCAGGTCCTCGGACACGACTGCGATAAAGCACGTCGACCAGAAGATGAGACCCGAGTGGTCGTTGCCTAAATGTACCTCGAGTACCCATCAGGGGCTCATCTTTCGTATCGTCGTACTTTGGCGATATACTGATAGTATCCGTTTGGAAAAGGTTCCTAAGTGACCAAGCGGACGATTCTCAACCCTCTAGCGCATGAATTTGATTTTATCTCTCAAGAATGAAATTGTTTTTCGGCTATTTACGACAAGCCTATGTTTTAATTTACATTTTTAATGAACTCTTTAAACACCATGCGTTCTCGGATACCTGACGAAGCTATCGGCGCAGTTGGAGACCTTCGAAACCCTTTCCAAGACTGCAGTACAGCCTCTCCGTCACGCTAGAGGTACACACCTCTAGTTTCTTCCGTACGATGAAGTTCTTCCCATCGTTGTTATCCCAGTACTCTTTACCATCGGTACGGTACCGGACACAGAACTCCACCACGTTCGATTTCAATGGCAAAGTCAGTCTGAACCGGAAGGTGTCGTAGAGTATCAGAGCAGGGGCACCCGGTTGCTCGACGTATGTACAGTGAATATCTTCGTGGGTCTTCCAGGAGTCGCTGCTCGCTCTGACCACGACCTCCTTGTCGTACGCCAAATTGCGTACCTTGATCGTCCCCACCAGACAGTGTTCCGACTCCCTAACTATCACGTTTTCCAAGCTGACGTTTTCTTGGTCGAGTTTCCGTCGGAAGGCCAGGTAATCGCTCGCTGGCTGGGGAAAAGTCACTTGCCAGGGCGACGCAACCTCGACGGGCTCGTCGTTATCTGTTTTCGAGTGGAGAAGTCGTCCTGTTAGCCCAGCTAGATACGCCGTACTCCAGAGTGGCGGCACGTTGCTGGGTTCCGACATAACACGGACCTGTCGAAAAAGAAACGGAACAAGCGGGTATTATCGAGTTCTGACGAGCCAGAAAGTCAACACACTCCGAAGGAGACTTAACCATGAAAAATCAGGATGAGAATTTTGATAGAAATAAAGTACATGCGAAAACACAACTTCTTCCACTCGTCGATATAAAATTAGGTTTCAGACTTTATTGCCAGTTGCAACACGATGCTGCGATCGACTCGAGTGTGGAGTTACATTCACCAGTCGGCGCAACAAGTGGAGCTACTGGAAAGTCCGTATAAAGCAAACAGAAAGTCGAAGCAAAGTGTACGCTACGTGAAACCTTATTTTTCCCTTTCACGAACAGTGACGTGTGACAGGAATTGTGGATGAATTATCGTACAGAAGCTGTATCACCTAAAGTACTTCGTTTCTAATCGATGGTAGCGAGAAATGTTTTAAATAAAAGTGGTATTAAAATGAGATTTTACTGTACATTATCGCGCTTGTATTTCTTTCAAAGGCTACCTCTCCCTGAACAATCGTAATGGATAAAATTACGTACCTGTGTGAGGGGACGACCACGGTCGTCGGCGAAAACCACTCTTTTTTTTTGTTTGTTGTTTCCTTCGTTGGTGTTCCGTATGCTGTCTATAGCCAGGGAGCCAGATGAAAGGCATGGCCTTATTCTGGGTGGTACCGATCTGCTGGTAATCGACGGCGCCGCCACCACCAGGGGGCTATACAAAAGCGAACTGTATACTGGAGGACTGTGCCCCAGAAGCAGCTCCGCAGGCATCGCTATGGAACACATTTAGATCTAAAAAAAAAGAAAAAAGAGAAATGAAAATTACATTGAAAATTGTTGAGATACGAGACTTTGACAAATCAGATAACCATTCCAAGAGTTCAATGCCCGTTAACCTTTCCCTCTAAGAGTTCCCTCTTTCGACTCAACATTTCAAAGATAAGATGGACAGCACTAATGGATTGACGTCGTGGGATAGTTCTAGCTCAAGTCCTGGACCAACGTCTGGAAAATATTCTCAAGGATCGACCCACCCAGTTGCATACCCCCCCAAACGTGTCTGCTCTCTACGAGGGTCTAAGTAAGTGGGAGAAGAGCTGAAGCGTGTTCACGTCAACATTTTTTTAAGAATGCTTTGAGGGCAGATAGTCCGCCGCTATTTGGCTTTCGAGAGGTTTATGGTTGGGTCAGACACCGAGCCCAATGTTCTCTGTGACGTAACTATGCACCTCGCTAGCACTACTAGCAGTTACCTGACGATGACTGGTGATTCCAAGTCACGTAGCTATCGAATGTCGCGGAGATTGATAGTTTAAAATAGGCCTGGTCGCACCTAATTTCCCCTACTCACTTTTATTAATATCGTAGATAAAATAAAAGAAATTTCTTCGTGTTCCAAAATTCGTTCATCGCAAAGCTTCCTGTTCGATTGGGCGAACGTCGAGGACCCGGTCCTCGTTTTACGGAGAGCTTGGCGGTCGCACTGTCGCAATTGGAATTTGCACTGCTTCGGTGATCTAGCGCCAAATCTTTAATAACTTTAAACGTGCGGGAAAGCTTGCCAAAAATTTCGCTGACGGAATTAGGCGACTAAGACGGGTCACGTGAGTCATCGAGGAACCCAAAATCGACCGAACTGTTTACATCCGGTCGATAATTCCGGATGCAATCAGCGTTGAGAAAGGTTTGAGCCGAAAATGGACTAAACAAATTCGACGATTCGACAAATGTCAAGTTAGTATTTTCTATTAATAACAAAAAATTTTTTTGTATTTACTAGACTATTTTAGAATCTTTTGCATTTTCCAGTTGAAGTGAAATGTTTGCAATTGTATCGTTGAAATAACGGAGCGCATCTGCACTTTTGCACTTGGCAACAGGGATGTATGATCTACCGTGTTGGAAAAGTAGGTTGAAGTAGGTAGGGGACGGGTTGAGTGCTTCCCTTGTCGGTATATTGACCGATTTATCGGTGTAAATACAGGAGTTTTTTTTTCAATGTAAGCCAAATTGTACACTTGCGCGGATAACGGTTCAACGACATACAGGTGCTAAGGGGCACCGTTCGTAGATAATAAACGCGTGAATCATGAGAACAAACAACTGTTTCTTTCAAAAATGAATATTTCTTGTGGAATGACAAACTTAAAAATTATTTAGTACTTGGTATTTTGTGTAAATGTGAACAAGAAACGATCTCCTCTTTCCAATACACGTCTGTTTTGTCACAAATATGAGATTGCAAAGAGAAATATTTAAAAATATAACTGAAATTGTTTTATCGTTATATCGAGCAATTACCCTGGCCATGATAAGTAGTGCGTCAACCTTAAAGAATAATACAGAAAAAGAAAACACGGACATACGCAGTTGATATTGTAATAATTAGAGTGTACATTTCATACACTTATGCAAAACGAAATAATAATATTATTATATTATATATGGAATATATTCAACATCTATTATGTATATTTTCCATATCACTATACGTCATAAAGGCAACAAATTTAGTACTGCCAACGTAAATTATCTTAGACCAGCGTGTAATTCGAATCCTAGCGAAAAGAAACTCCGATCCTCCACTTTCTTTCCACCAGTTATACGCACTTACGTTTATCGAACCAATTACACGGAAAGCATCGACGTCCCCATCGACTAGTCGTTCAACGCACGGTGCACCTTCGATTTTCAATCGGTAGCAGATTGTTAATTAATCGATTCGTTCGCTAATTTACTCGCTTAACGCTCGAAGCGTAAGACACGGCGCAGATCTCGTATGACTCTATCACGGTAGAGGTATTTTGCGCGTCGGAATAGACGCGTGTAGTCATGTTACTACGGGAGTGGAATTACGACTCTTAAGTGTGGCAATAATCTCTTCTCTCGTCCCTCGAGACTTGCTCGAAAACCAGAATCGACATGTACCAGACCGGAACCGAACAAGCAAGCGTACACTAGCGAGAATCAAGCGGTATCATGAATCGGATGTTTCGAGTTTCAAGCTACTTGAATCGCCGTCAACGGCCACTTCGACTCTACGCGACGTTCTTTGGTCGATTTATCGCGAAAAGATATAATAAAGTTATCGCGTTCCTATGAAAACCAGATAGATATCTTTCGAACTTCGTAAAAGAATTTAATACTTCTGTAATCGTCTCGACGATCGTAATATTTGGCTACTCGAGTTTCATCGAGCGTCATTTTTTTTTTTTTTTGTCACTTAGACGCGGTTTATTCTGCTTTGCGCGATAACCACGCTCACGTGATTCGATAAACTATTTGAATTTTTTCTTTCACACCGTTTTCAAAACATCTTGACAAACACAAAGATATCGACATCGACAGGAGCTATTTTAACGATAAATAAGTTTTGTAAAAGTTCTGCTTTATAGATGTCGAGAGAAATTCTTGAAGTATGCTTAATTGTTCGGCGGTCGTCGACCTCATGATTTGTTGAAAAAGAAACGTTAGAATTTTAGGGATTGGTATAATTTTGAAAAAAAAAAAAAAAAAAGAAAATTGCGTTACAAGAAATATTACGTATAACACTGTCCTCGTGTGCCGTGATTAACTAAGGGTAGAGGTCAAAACGAACACTCGAGTATTGTTTATCGTTACGCGAACGCGGGCCCCCAAGGTCAAACTGTTTGGTCTGCTAAAACAAGCACAGAAGGAAAGAATATTGGTTTATCGCTCGTTTTCTGCATAGTCTTCGGCGACACTTTCGATGAGCGTGGCTCGGGCCACAAGTTTAAAAAAAACTTGCATCGGTTGTGTCATTTCAATTTTTGCGCGGCTCTCTTATCGCGATGAGAATTCGTCTCGTTAACTTCTTAACCCGGTGGCGAACAACAATAACAACAACAATCGTGGCAGTGCCGCGAAATGAATTTTCCGATTATTATCGAATGTCAATTGCTGCAAAACTCTTACACAATAATTGTTTTGCAGCTGATAAACGATTAATTAACCAAAAGGTTGCGATTGCGTACGAAGCATGGCAATAAAAATGGCGAGTCAAGTTGTGACAATCATCGAAACGAGATCGACCTTTACACAGGGTGAACTTAGGTTATGTTTGCAACGGATCGAAAATTTTCCTCTCTGATCAACACCTTCCATGAAATTACGTATATATTCGATCGTGAATAAATGTTTAAGGTAATTATAAATAGTTTCATACTTTTTTCAAAGTAAAAATATATAAAAGATAGACGAAAGTATTCTGGAACATATTCGTGATTTATATAAATCACTGTCGACGGATATGGAAAATATCAGTGAAATATATTTGTCACATTAATTTGTTTTTTTTTTTTTCCTTCGAACAATTATCGTTTTAACGGCGCAAAGAGATTCGTTACTTGGCGTGGTATTGACAGATTTCCGATAATTACACTTTCGCGATAAGTCGATTACTTTCAAGAATATTTCGTCATTTAGTTATTGCAAACGCAGAATTATTGTTATGTTCAAAGTTATTTCGTGAAAAAGTAACGTGACGCGATCGTATTTCACGAGCATGGTACGCGCGAAGAGGAAAAGTACGCGAATCGTGAAGGAAACGTGACGTATGTACCAACACATTCGATGATGAAAAATTCGTCGATCGTTGCGGGGCCCGATAAAGAACACTCACGCTAGAGATAATCTTCGATCACGCTAGCGAGACGATGCACCGTGATATTTCATAACCGGTCGAGCGGATTATTCGTTACAAATACGTGTTATAATATCATTATCGTGATTCACGGTAAACAGGACACAACGGCCGTGATAACGTCGAATCGTCTCTCACGACCCAGACCAAACAGTGTTTTCTATTTTATCCGCGTGTCTGTCTGGGCTTTTTATTTACCTAACGATAAGTTTCGATCGTGTTCACGCGCTACGTATACGTGACTTCGATATTAATATAAGAAAAGCTTATCTAAAACTTGTGATTTTATGTAAAAATTAATATGTTCTATATTAGTTCGTATCATAGAAATATTATAAATAAAATAAGGGTAGATAGGCCAACCTGAGAGTAGAAATGTCCCATCGTTAGAAAGAGAAAGAAAACCGCGGCATCCTACCTATCTCTGTCTACTAAAAGTCAGACCGATATTGGCTGTTGACTTGGCTCTGTATGTTAGGAATTTTTCAAACTAATACAGACAAGGTATCGCGGTTTTCTTTTTTTCTTTCTGGCTTCCCTACTCTGTCTATAATGTTTCTGTGGTTCGTATCCATCGACGCTGGTATAGTCATGGAAAAAGCATGGTCGTGTTTCGTGACTCGTGAGTGAAAATTGCGCAGTCGCCGTACTATTTCAAGCTTACGATGGTTAAAAATAGCGCATCGCATCTTCTAAGCGCCTACGTATACCCCAGACACGCTACGCCCTTGGAATCTATCCAATAGTCTGACTTTTAAGGTAAAATATAGGCGAACTGTCCTCGTCGAAAATCAATAGAGAAGACGTTTTGTTGTTGTTTTTTCTTTTTCTTTTTTTTTTTGTGAATACAGGTGAGCCTGACGATCTAATCGACTTACGGAGTCTCGAAACACTCGAGCCTGAACACGAGACGAGTCACGTGTGTCCGTGCAAATTAATGCTCGTGGCATCTGTGGACCGTCTAGTCCAGGCGATTCTTAACCTTTTTAAGTTCAAGGAATTATGCCACTTAAAATATATATCCAAATAAATATAAACGAAGAATTATAAGTGGACGTGCTCTCAGTCCAGGAGAGTATCATCGATAAAATATTTATTTTTGATCCATACTGAGCGCGATTACGAGGAA